GACAGAAGCCGAAAGGAGGAAAAAGAACACTCGGAAAATGTTCTCTTTTCTATTCGTTTTCTGGGAGTAGCTCGTCCTGTATAGGCCCCAACCAAGGGCCTAGAATCACAAAATAATGTTGGATAAGGTTAAGAAAAAATATATGTTCCTTTGGGAAATCAGGTCCAATTACATCCTAGACTCCCAGGAGGTTTTATTCTCTCCCTTATTCTCCTACTTGGTGAGGGATGGTTCTGGATTTGCTGTTAATGTTTAGGTCTAATTATGACTCCTTCCAGCAGAAAAAAATCCTCATTGTCGGCTGGGTTTAGGCTGGAGAGTGAATCTCCATGTGGGGCGAGCATTGCCTCTTCAAGGGTCACCTTCCCTGGAACCTCCGAGACCACCAATGTGGTCTTCCCTTCCGCGCGCTGTCCGTCCCCTCCCCGTGATCCCCTTCCCTTCCTCACACTCCTCTTCCTTTCACGGCGCTCCCCTTCCTCTCCCTGCGCGGACCCTTCCCTTCCCTGCCCTCTCCTTCCCTTCCGTCTTGCTCCCCTTCCCTTCCCTGTGATCTCCTTCCCTTCCCTGCACTCCCTTTCCCTTCCCCGCGCTTCCTTTCCCTTCCCCGAGCTCCCCTTCCCTTCCCGGCGCTCCCCATCCCTTCCCCGCGTTCCCCTTCTCTTTTCCTCCTTCCCTCACCCTTCCCCGCCCTCCCCTTCCCTTCTCCCGTGCACCCCTTCCCTTCCTCGCGCTGCTCTCTTTTAACCTTACAAGCACAGTTGAGGTGAGCTGGATCTTCCCAAGGACCCTCACTGAGCATCAGGCAAGAGTCACAGGTGACAAGTAACCACTAAACAAGGAAATGGAAACAGCCGAGCTGCCAGGGGCCTTCCCCCCGCCCGCCTTCTCCCGTGTGTTCTGAGCTATTTCCACCCTGGGCCCAGTGGGTTGGCACAGCCTCCAGACACCGTCCCCAAATTCTCCATTTCTCAGCCCCTTCCCTCAATAGCTTGCCGGCTTTTCCAACTAGGCCAAGAGGGATGAATCCCACCAGGCTGTTTCCCTGCCCCTTTCTGTTGCCTCTGAGAACCCTGATTCTTCTCCCCCTGGTGACTGATGCCAAAAATAGCCTCACCTTTTAGGGGAGACCACAACTCCACAGGGACAGCCATATACTTGTGGTACCAAAATAATCAGTTACTCAAACAGTTCCAGCTCTGGGATCAGAATGCCTGGGTTTATTATTATTATTATTGGCTCTTACTATCTGTAAACTTGTTAATATCTCCATGCCTCAGTGTTCTCATCTTTAAAATGGGGACAATAGTACCACCCCATTCACAGGGACTTGGTGAAGAATAAATAAAATGATACATATAAAACATATCAAACAAAGATGGTTAAATAAAACTCCATAAGGTTAAATAACTGATGACTTAGCAATACCCAGCCCCGCCCCGGGGCCAGCCCACCTGGGTTTCCTAATCTGCCTGGTGCCCCTCCCTGCCCACTGACTCCCACCTCAGCCTTTATTCTTAAAACATCGGGTGGGGGGGAGGGGAGTGCTCAGAATTAGGCCAAAGGCAGTTCTTGTCCAAATGGAAAGCTCCCACGTGGCTTCTTGTTTCAAAGCTCAGCATTCATCTGGACTTTGTTATATGGACAGGGGTCCTAGGCCCAGGGAGAAGGAAAGCTTAGGATGGAAACTATCTGGGATGTGGCCGCAGTGCTCTGGGGGCTGATTCGGTTAAACACAGACTCATCATCACAACTGCCTGCTCCTTCCTTATCACTCACAATCCACTTCCAAGTACATTGTCCCCTCCCCCACCTCCCCTCACTGCTTCCGCTCCATATTCTCTTTCTCTCCATATTACAGATACAGAAATGAAGCCTCACAGAGGCCAGGTGACCTCCTTCCCTGGGGAGTGGCAGAGTTGCGCCTGGCCTGCTGTGGGCCCCAGACTCATGGGCTTCCCACCACAGCCCCTGGCCAGCCTGCTGCCTCCCACTCCCAAACTCAACACGCCCCCTCCTGGGAAGCAAAACAGGCACTCATTGATTGCAGTCAGCCCTACATGGATGGAGAACTATATGGAGCCCTGTGGGATCTAGTTTACGGTGGATGGATGTGCCAGTCCTAGGAACAGCAAAGCAGGAGGAAGAGCTACTGAGACAGAGAGGGCACTGAAGTGAGTGCTAAGGGCAAGGCAGGCAGTGCAGCGAGCACAAAAGCTCAAAGGAAGGTCCCTGCCCAGAAGATCTACGGGGAGACATCAGAAAGGCAGGGTGGCTGAAATCATGGAAAAGCATGAGCCCTCGAAGGGAATGAGACTATAAGGAGAAGAGAAGACCAAAAAAGTTCAGGTGATAGCTAAGGCTACACGTCTGGAGGAGAAATAATAGCAAAGGGAGGGAAAAGAAAATGCGGGGAATTACTGGGCACGGTGTCTCATGCCTGTAATCCCAGAACTCTGGGAGGCTGAGGCGGTCAGATCACCTGAAGTCAGGAGTTCGAGACCAGCCTGGCCAACATGGTGAAACCCCGTGTCTACTAAAAATACAAAAATTAGCCAGGAGTAGTGGTGGGTGCCTGTAAACCCAGCTACTCTGGAGGCTGAGACAGGAGAATCATTTCAACCCAAGAGGTGGAGGTTACAGTGAGCCAAGATCGCACCACGGCACTCCAGACTGGGTAACAGAGCGAGACTGTCTCAAAACAAAACAAAAATCACAAGAAAAAAGAAAAGAAAAAATGCATGGAATGGCTGGGCACAGTGGCTCATCCCTGTAATCCCAGCAGTTTAGGAGGCAGAGGCAGGAGGATTGCTTGAACCCAGGAATTCAAGATCAGCCGGGGCAATATAGTGAGACCATCTTTACAAAAAACAATTTTTTAAAAATTAGCCAGGCATGGTGGTGCTCACCTGTAGTCCCTGCTAGTCAGGAGGTTGAGGTGAGAGGATCACTTGAGCCCAGGAGTTCAAGGCTGCAGTAAGCTATGATCACACCACTGCAGTCCAGCCTGAGCAACCAAGTGAGATGCTCTCTTAAAACATTTCTTAAATAAAAGAAAGTGTAGGACAAGCAGAATATGGCAACGAAAGCATTCAGGAAGGTCAGGCAGTGACAGAGAATGAGTGCCGTGATGCTGGGAGAGATCTTTGGGATTGGAAGGGACCAGTGCACTTTGGAAGGTGCCTATATCATGACATCTTCACTCTGTGAAGACTGGGGAAAAGTGAGGACTTTCCCACTCTCGGTTGCAAAAAACAGTGTTTTGTAAATCTCATCCTCCATTGGAAGTCAAATTTTGGAGTCAGGAGGCATCCCAGTCATCACTGGCTTTGGGTGTAGCATGAAGAGTTGGACTTCAAAGAATAATTTGTTCTGTGAAAAAGGAAGTGGCTCCAAGCAAGAGCTGACATCAGTGAATGAAGCTCTTCCCTTCACTGTACATCGCTATGACCTGGACATGTGGTGTTTACCCTCATGTATGGTTTCTGGTAAACCAAACTGGAGTCCATGACCAGGCTCAGCGCCTAAGTGAGGCTGCTTCTCTGCCTTGAGTCTAACTGCTTCCCCAGCTGGCTGATCTATACACCTGCCACACTTGTACTCACAGAGAGGGAGAGAGGTGGAAAGCAAGATGGGCAAGCCTTCCCAGAGAGACAACTCTGGCTCAGCCCATTCCTTTTGCCATCAGAGAGAAAGTCACATCTAGGTGTGTGGCTTGTGACTTTTGCCACCCACAGTGACTCTGACCACTAGAAAATGTGGTCCAGTTGGTGTCTTGGAATCTGACCCCGTCAGTTCAGTACATCGTTAATTGTCTAATGGAGGAGTAAGCCGGAGGGTAGCCCACAGAATATGTCTTCTTAACTCCACCCCAACTTCTCCCGAGCTACTAACAAATATAAAATATGGATTAATGGAAGAGCAGAGCAGCTGCAGACACACTTTGTGCACCAGAAGCCAGGGCGTCTACAGAGGATCCAACTGTGGCCAACTGAGTGACACTTTCAACAGCTCCACATTCACATAGGCATCCTATAGGGGTCAAGTGGTTTCCAAAATGTTGACAGATTTCTGTCATGGGTGCTTGTAATGGGTTTCCAGCATGCCTTGGAGTGAGTAGATGAGATGGAGTTAAATTTCCAGGCAAGACACTTATGTCCATTTCATGTGCAGACCACACTTTCCACAGTTGCATGCCCCTTTTCTCAACTTAATGAATAGGAGAATTTAAACTATTCTGATATAATAAAGAAGTAACATGGGATTTTTACTATTTAAAAGTTGCAACAATATAGAAATGCATACTGTAGAAAATAAACGTCTTCTGTAATGTCTTCCCCTCCTCTGCTGAAAACATCAGTATTAACAATTTGGAATAGGGTTTCCCCCAGTTTTTCCATGCATATACTAAACCATATATGTATGCATATATAGACTATTATATATACTTTTTTCTATTTAAAAGTGGGATTTTAAAAAATGGGGTGCTACAGTTTTGCAAATGGTTTTGACTTAATATCTCTTGCAACAAAGTTTTTTAAAGTGACTGTGTGTAAATTAACACTGTATAAATAAAAGTGTTCTAAGACTTATACAGATTTCCTTAAAGTAGTGCCTGATGCAAGTATTTGTACTCTGTGGTCATGGCCTCCTCTTTATCATCCGCCTCAATCAGCAATAACCCCCAGCTAATGATGTAACAGGTCATGATTCTGAAGGGTTCTATGTCCAAAGAAACTACCCCCAACCACCCAGGAGTCTCTCATCTATTACCTACATGGGCATCAGTTGTGGACAGATCAAGACAGTGGCCTTGGTGTATAGTTAAAAACAAAGCAAAACTGTGTGCACTCAAAACAGGCACATCATGTACTGAGTTCCTTCTCTGTGCCAGCTGCTGTCCTGAATGGTATATATCACTTCATTGAATAGCAATGCATGTATTGTCTTAGTCAATTCAGGATGCTATAACAAAATACCACAAAGTGGGTAACACAGTCTTATAAACAACAGAAATTTATTTCTCACAGTTCCAGAGGCTGGGAAGTCCAAGATCAAAGTGCTGGCAGCATTGGTGTCTGGTGACGGGACCACTTCACCAGAACCGGTGTCTGGTGAGGGTGGAAGGGACAAGACTCCCTAGGATCTCTTTTCTAAGGCATTAATCCCATTCACATGGGCTCCACCCTCGTGAACTAATCACCTCTCAAGGTCCCACCTGCAAATACTCTCACATTAGGGGTTAAGATTTCAACATGTAAATTTTAAGGAGGAAACCAATGTTCCATCTATAGCATCTATAGTACCTTTGAGGTAGGTACCATTGCTATTCTTACATAAATGGGGAAAAGCATAGGAAATTTAGTAATCTGCCCAAGGTCAACATCTGGTAAGTGGCAGAGGAAGACATACAAAGAATATGAAGAATAAGAGATGGAGCAGATTAGGCACCAAGAGCTGCTTGTAATTCTCAGGGCACCTGGCAGTGGCCCCTTGCAGTATCATGAGGTATTCCATGTGCTCACAGCAACCCCATGGATTAGCAGATGAGGAATCAGAGAGGGGACATAATTGCAAGTGTCAGAGCCAGATTTGAACCCTTAACTTTGGAGCTCATTCTGTTAATTACTGCACCAAGGCAAATCACTATGGGAAGGACAGACTATACTCACAGAGCTCTACAGGCTGTGGAGTGCTTACCTGGAGGGCAGCAGAAGCTAGAAAGAAAGTTTTAGAAGGGGTCAGGGAGAGCCAACAGTGAGGCTTGGGAAGCCTCCTTAGATGATTCCAGAATGTCCACCTCTAACCACCAGGGTAGAGCTCCTGCCTGATATGATGCTTTCTCACTTAGGATAGGGGTCCTTAGCCAGCAGTCCAAGTCTGGAGATCCTCTCAAATGGGTGACTAAATCAGTCACCATCCCTCTCTCCTTTCATCATCTTGACTCCCACCTCGACCCTATACCTTCCTTGTGCAGCTATCTGTCTCCCTGCCTATCCTCACTGCCCTCTCCTCTGCCATCAGCTGTCCTTGAAAACATTTTAGAATATAAGAAACTGAAGTGTCACTATCTCACTCAAAGGTTAGGGAAGGCTAGTTTAGGGCAATAAAGAAAGCAGTTATAAGACAGTGGGGAAATCAGATTTTTCTTTTGACGTAATAATGCTAATTTGGATTCCTCGGTGTGATTTTTGATGGTTGGGATTTACAGGTGTTCGCAGTCCTTTTGTGATGGCTACAGCTTGATATCATACAACATTGACAGGAAGTATGACAGAGAAGGAATCTCAGGCTGGAATTGCTGCCAGGAAGCCAGAAGGCATCCCTGGACTGCGATCAATATAGAGCCTTCTTTTCTTCACACTGCTCTTGGCTAGAGTCTGTCTTCTTTGAACTTCTATAATATATAGAAACTGCAAGAGAAGACAAGAAAAATGATTACAGGAGCCCTAGGGGATGAGAGCCCTGAGTTGGCATTAACTGGGCATAAGACTTTATCAAAAACACTATCACTGACAAATTCTTCTGACCCAGAGACACAAGCAACAGAAAGTTGAGTTTAAAGCAGACTGCAGGGGCAAACAACCTCACAAAATCTGAGACTTTGCCCCCAGGAGATGGGTAAATAAACTTGTTATCAATCATCCATTTCTAGTGTGTTGGACTAAGTGGGCAGGCCTTTTACGACATGACAATAGGACTGTCAGAGAAAGTGAGAAGTCTCAGGGGCTGCAGGAAAAACCCTCCATGGAGTGATGAGCCTTCTGTTCTTTGGGCAATAGCAACTGGATTGATACATTTGGGGAGTGTATGCATAAGCATAGAAGAGGTCTTCCAAAAGTTTGTGGAAAAGTCATATTAGGCGTGGATTTCAAATTTTTTGCACCAAAATATACTTGTAATTATTTGTTATAACATGTTTGAACATGATCTAGCACTAAGACATCAGTTTGAAAAAGCCCCTTTCACAGCAACCTGAATTCTGCTAAAATTGAAGCAAGAACAAACACCAAATTTGTGGTGAAGCTTGGGTGGAATGGTGAAATCACTGATACTTTATAAAAAGTTTAAGGGGACAATGTCCCAAAGAAATAAGCAGTTTACAAGTGGATAACTTACTTTAAGAAGGAACAAGACGATGTTAAAAATTACACCTGCAATGGTAGACCATCCACATTAATTTGCAAGGAAAAAAGTAAGCTCGTTCATGCACTAATTGAAGAGGGCTAATTATTTACAGGAGAAACAATAGCTAACCCATAGACATCACAATTGGTTCAGTGTATACAACTCTGACCGAAAAATTAGAGTTGAGCAATCTTTCCATTCAATGGGTGCCAGAACTATTATACCCAGATCAGCCGCAGACAAGAGCAGAGCTTTCAGTGGAAATTATAAATAAGTGGAATCAAGATCCTGAAGCACTTCTTTGAAGAATTGAAACAGGAGATAAACCACAGCTTTACCAGTACAATCCTGAAGACAAAGCACAATCAAAGCAATGGCTACCAAGACATGGAAATGGTCCAGTCAAAGAAAAAGTGAACTGGTCAAGAGCCAAGGTCATGGCGACAGTTTTTTGGGATGCTCACACACAAAAAGATGCCATAGGCTGCATCAGTTCTCTTTAGGCAAATTAGAGAAATAACCCAAAATGGTGGCAGGGGAAGGGTGCAGGAGAGACCTACAGCAAATACCAGTGGCAAAATTAGCTTTGAATACATGAAAAAAATGCTCTCCTCTTCCTTTACCCTGCCACCCCCAACATCTACAATATACACCAATCTACTAAAATTCAAGATGTTCTGTCAAATGTTTAGTTTTGTTTTTTTTTTTCAGCAGCAGTCGTTCAGAGCACATGATATTTTATTTTTCTGCATTATGTCATTTCAGGTTTATTTGTCATCACTGAAAAAAAAAAAAAACATTGATTCTGTAACTGCCTGATGGGTTTCTCTTGCAGGCTACCCAGGTAGACCTGGTTTATCAAGACAGGGGAATTGCAATAGAAGGTTTAATACATACAGAGCCAGCTAAATGGGAGACTGGAGTTTTATTATTACTCAAATAAGCTGTCCCAAAAATTCAGATACTGAAATTTTTATAAAATAGTTTGGCAGGCAGGGGGCTGGGGAATGGGGAGTGCTGATAGGTTGGGTTGGGGATGAAATCATAGGTAGTCGAAGCTCTCCTCTTGCATGAGCCAGTTCTTGGGTAGGGAGCCACAAGACCAGATGAGCCAGTTTACTGGCCTGGGTGGCTCTGGTGGATCCATCAGAATGCAGAATGTTTTGGTCTATTACAAAATACCAACCTTAGGTTTTATAATAGTAATGTTATCTATAGGAGCAAATAGGGACGTTACTAGTCTTGTGGCCTCTGGCTGCATTACACTTGAGCCATGGTGGGGCTGTTTCAGGGAGGGGCTGTTAGCATCCATGTTTTAAAATTAAACTATAAACTAAATTCCTCCCAAAGTTAGTTCAGCCTACCCCCAGGAACGAACAAGGGCAGCCTGGAGATTAAAGGCAAGATGGAGTTGGTTAGGTCAGGTCTCTTTCATTGTCATAATCTTCTCACTGTTACAATTTTTGCAAAGGTGGTTTCAATTCAAAGGCAAAATTTGGTTTGTTGACTTAAAATCTTTACAGTTCTAATTTGCCAGTTACAGATAGAATGATTCCACTTTTTGAATACTTGACTTTTGTAAGTACTCATAGCTAGTATACAAATTGTAGATCATTTGAAATAGTCAAATAGTATTAGGAATTTCTGCTTCCGGCCATGATGGAGTAAAGAAACTGGATTTACCCTTTCATCTTCACTACAAAGCTGGGAAAAATAGACAAAACAATGGTTTTGAGACATTGAGCAAAAGGCAGTGAAGAACTGCAATTCTAACAATTTGGTAATAAATGAGGTGAGCCCTTTGATAGCCCTCATTTCTGGCCTGAAGAGTTTACAGGCTGCAGCACCGGGAGAAGGAACTCAGACAGAACCTGGAGGCTTCACTGAGCTAGGAGACAAACATCAAGAAATCTAGGATTCTTGGGGCCGAGTGTCAGAGAGAAGAGAACTATACTAAGGGAAACTCCAGATATTTGCAGAAGGGTCTCCTCAAGTCTTCAAATGAAGATTTAGCAGCACTTGCACTGGAGGAAACTAGTGGGAAAGAACCACCAGAGACAAGCAGGCAGAACAATCCCCAGAGCTCGCACAGAGCCAAAAGCAATTTGTGTATCCCCAGTGGAAATAATTTCTAAACACATGGAGCATCAAGCAGAATCTTCGATAGGGTGCTGCTTTAATAGTGGGACCAGATTATAACTAAACTTAAAGACTATTGTGGGCCCATTTAGCAAAGCTTACACAAAAGGCTTGCAAAGGCCACATTTTCCCCAAGGGGAATGTATCCCAGAACAAAATATTTAAAGGAATACAAAAGCCTTCAGCCCCCAATAAAGTAACACTCACAATGTCAGATGTAAAATAAAAAGGTTACCAGTGTGAAAGATACAGGAAAATGTGACTCACTTCCGGAAGAAAAATGTATCAAAAAAAAAAAAAAAAGCATTAGGAAGATCAAACAATAACCCATAACCTTACCAACTAGAAATGCTTTTCAGTTAAGAATTAGAGTATTACCTTTTAGACTTTAATATGTATTTTTAAATTACTGATATTAAATGAACTATGAATGATCAAACCATTGGTACAACTTGGTGTCCTAGAGATTTTTTTCCTCTTTATGTATCTTAAGCACTTTCTTATGTGTATTTCGCTTTTCTGCTTGTAAGAACCAACACTCACTTGGCTTACCTTATGTAATGGGAAGTATATTAGAAGTATGAAAAGGAAATATGATTCTCAGCTAAATGAACCAAGGGAGGAAGAAAGCCAAATAATTGGACCTCACAGGGAATGAAGGACCAAGAGTGCAGCCAGGCTCTGAAGGCAAGTGCGCTGGGGCCCCAGAGCCTCTCCTGCTCCTCAGCAGAAGCTGTTAGTGAGTAAGTGTTCCCTCTGATGCCCTGCCTTTGGGAGACCTACCCCTCATTATCTCAGTCTTCTTCTCTTCGTACATCTTCTGGCTTTTTCTGTTGTACAGAATGGCTTCTGTCCTGGATCACTCAAATCTGTCCTACATGCTGATTAGTGTTGTCTATTCTAGAATTTCATATAAATGGAATCATATACCATGTACTTCTTTCACTGAGCATCATGTTTTTGAAATTAATTCAGGGGCCCACAAAAGTTTTCTTAAAGGATCAGACAGTAAATATATTAGGTTTTGGGGGGTGGCCAAACCTAGTCTCTCCCAAGTACTTAGTTCTGCTGGTGTAGCCAGAAGATTTAAAATACAAACAAGATTCTGTAATTTTTTTAAAATCCCAAACTTAATAATATTCTTTTTCAGTAGATGATCTCCACTAATATTTCATAGCCATACAGAATGCTGGGGTTGAAACAAAATTTGGAAACCATCCTGCATTCACCAAAAGGCAGAGTCCCTCCTACTATATTGCTCTGTGGCCTCTGAGCATTTCCAGGAGACACCTCATTGTAACACAAGATCCAATGATAACTCAACCATTTACCACCTGAACCACGGCAACAGGCCATAAATGTCTGCCTCAATCTTCCTGACCATCTCAGAGACAAAATCACCTTTCTGAAATAATATACCAACACAGGAGGTGCTTGAAATACACTGATTTCCCGACCAATTCAGTGTCCTTCATTCTATGTATCTACCTTCCACTCTCTCTGGCATAATCAAATAGATCTGCTAATTATCCTGAGATTTTTGTGATCCTGCCTACCTGAGTCCAACGCCCTACTTTTTATCTTGTTCCCTATGTCACAATGTCACAGCTTCCCTGCCTTGGCTGGGAAGATTCCATTCACTTGCCTCCCCTCACCCCCCGAGTATTCACTGATAGCTATAAGCATCCTTTTGTGTTTCTTCTAACTTTTATGAAACTAGAGTTTACCTTTTTCGTACAGATTCCTAAAGGGAGAATTTCATTGTAAACAAGAATCTAGTCCTTCAATTGCTTTTCTTGGCGTCTGAGTTGTCTCTTTTTACCTTCCTTTTATGTGGGAAAGGCTTCTGTGTGCACTGTCACCTGAAGTTTACCGGAGAGTCACTCATCCAAAAACATGTGTTTACCATACTTAAAAGTGTTATCGCTAGGATCTTATTAGAACTCCCCTGGAGACAGGGACACTTTAATTAAATGTTGCAAACATCTATGGAGCCTTACCGTACTCACATTATTTTGCGAGGTGCTGGTACGAATACAGAAATGGATATGATAAAGGCAACGTTCCAGTGTGTGCACTGTGGTGGAGAAAATAAATAAAATCTTTGCCTTGTTGAAGGCATCCCATTAATTAAAGAGATAACATTTTCCCCAGAACTAGTTACCTGTTTAAGTTTGGGTCCCACACAAAAACCGATAAATAGATAGCAGATCTATCTTCTGGTATCTAATATCTATCTCTCATATCCCTCCCTCCCTCCCTCCCTCCATCCCTCCATCCATCCCTCCATCCATCCATCGGGTCCCACACAAAAACCGATAGATAGCAGAGCTATCTTCTGATATCTAATATCTATCTATCTATCTATCTATCTAGTATCTAATTATCTATCTATCTATCTATCTATCCATCCATCCATCCATCCACCCATCTATCCATCTATCATCCATCTGTTTATCTCAGAAAGCAGAGGTAGGGTATGAAGAAGAGATGGGACAATACAGTACAAAGTCCTCCCCTCCAGCCAAGTTTTTCAAACTCCTTGTCCATACAACATTGATGACCTTAACTTCAGCTCTTTACACATTTCTTTTCCCCGTGAGGCTGAGCTGCTTGAGGGCAGGTCACATCTTTCCACTACCCTCCTTGCCGGCACCTACGGCTTCCTAATGGAGACCCTACAGGTAACCCACGTGAGCGCGTACTCCGCGGCAGACACGCCCAGGCGGGCTTTACTCACATCCAATCACTTAGTACGCACACTCCCTCCAGCCAATGAGCGAATACGTACTCCTTTCTCCACCTCCCGCCGGGCGGCCACCGCCCCCTCAGCCTCTGGTCGTCCCGTCACCGCCCCAGGTTGCCCCGCCCTGCTCCGCCCTCTCACCGCCGCGTGCTCGAGGAGCGAGTCGCGCGCCACTGACGTCACCAGCACGCGCCCCGTCTGCAGCAGTCAGCCTGCGAGGGAGTTACGCTGGTCCTGATTCTCGTGGAGTCTCCTGCCCGCCCAGTGGCCGCAGTCACCCAGGTCCAGAGGCCGCGGTATCACAGGCTCTCCGACATGTCTATGCTGGCTGAGCGTGAGTGTCAGAAGCAGAGGCCCGACCCGGGCGCGTCGGTGAAGATGCTGGGTGACCCGCACGGCAGTCCCAAGTGACTGGGAGCGCGGGTTCCAGGCGCGCCTGGCGCATGGGGTCGGGGGACCGGGGAGCCGAGCCTGGCTCTGCTTGTCCTGCTCGCCGCAGAGCTCCCCGAAAGTTGGCCGCGGGTCTGCTAGTGAGAAAGACCGCGAGTGTCTCCCGGAGACGCCTTCCTCACAGTCACCCTGGGGCGCGCGCGAAGTGGGTCAGAACACCGGGTCCCGCGACTGGCCCCGCCGCCGCCCTTTGTGGGGACCCGGACTGGTTGCTTCACTGCCCCCAGACCTCAGCTTCCTCAGGTTAAAAAGAGAAGGTTGAGCAGAAGGATCACTTCGAACTGTAATCACATTGTCCAAGATGTCTTGGACCCAGAAAAAGAAAAGCAAAGGAGTTAGAAGTCTCAAATATGGGACGTCAGCCACTTAGCGGGGGAGTGCAGGGCTAATGCGTAATTCTAAATGAGATCGGCGTTTTTGATCTTGTTGGCCACAGCGCCCGGTCCTGCCTGTTTACCTTTGACATTTACCTTCACTTTGTGGAGCGGGTGAAACCCCTGTCTCTGGAGAAGCTGCTGAACTTCTGAATTGTGCCTGCAGCTAAGGTCGCTTGCCACCAGATGGCAGTCGTGCTTTGATCCTGAAAAGCGGGTCCTTCTTGTGAGTTGTATAGTGAGCAATGAACAGAAACAGCTTATTTAACAGATCAACCAGACCAGCACAGCGATTTTGTGAAATAAATGCTGTTAGCACTCTTTTCTAAGAGGATGGAGGACTAGGAGCACAAAACAAAATGGGTCAGTCGTCATCCCGGTTTTACAGGGGCAGAAATTGACGTTCAAAGGAAAATAATTTGCCCCTAGTCATTGAGCTAGAAAATGGCAAAATTGATCCAGTTATCTCTGTATCTTTATATTCTTGCCAGTAAGACCAGCGGAGACCCATAGAAATGAGTATGTTTTAGACTGAACCCGTGGGTTCTATTTTTTCACCAGTAAAAAATCAGGAGTCAGGGTTAGAGCCTAGATAGCTAAGATCTCTTCTGGTTTTCGTATTTGATGTTTGCTCAATTCAGCATGCACTTGGCGACTTTGGCCCTAATTCTGCTATTCATTTATGTCTGTTCCTTTGATCGGTGTTTGTGAGGCCACTAAAATCTTCTCTTACTATCTTTATCTCCAGGTGGCCTTAAATCAATGAGATGGTGAACATGAACATAGTTGGAAAAATCTGTAGAGGTGTAAAATACTATTTGTAGACATCCGTAATTCAGATTGCATGATTTCAAGAGAGTGTTTTCAGTTCTCCTTTCCCAACGTTATTCCAAATTGTCAAATCCTTGTCATTATAATATGTAACATTTTGTGTTTTTTTTTCTCCATAATTTGCCAAATGGGTATAGCATCTTCTGTAATTAGATATTTAGGATTGGTGTTGTTAAGAAGAAAAACCTTAGACAAATTAAACAGTTTGATTGAGCAAAGAATGATTCAAGAACTAGGCAACCTTCAGAACTAGAACAGGTTATAAGAACTCCAAGCCTATGCTGTCAGGCAGTATTTATGGACAGTAAACGTAAGTGAGGTACAGAGACAACTTGGTTAGGGTTACCGCTCTGATTTGCCTTATTTGAATCAGCTGGCTGCCTGTGATTGATGCTCAGCTGCTGTAAAGGATTGAGACTCAGTTATATGTTACAAGAGTGTACTCCTACGATAGGCTTTCGCTTCGCTTAAGTTCTAACGTAGGTTGTAGTTCCTTACGTAAGGACTCAAGTACGGAGGCCTCCTCAGGCCAAATTTAGTATAATAATTCGCTCCTTCTGATCAACCTCTGAATTTTGAGAGATTGTTTAAAACTTTTGCTCCTGGCTCTTGGGACTCAACACGCCCTTTAGAGTAAATGGGATCCTAGCATAAGTCATGTGGCATTGAGCTGTTGTGTGGATGGTTTTTATTGGATTTGCCCAAAAGTATCCCGACAGATCCATTTACAGTTAGATCTCCACATAGGAGTAGCTGCTAGAGGATGGTTAAATACATCCCAAATAGTGATTCTGCAGATTTAGGGCATTCTACCTGAAGTCCAGCGCCATGCTGTAAACACTGCTATTCCAGATCGTGTCAAGGGTCCTCAACATCATCCCGAGATTCAGCGATGTGCTGGGGGATTCAGGCACAGGACTCAGCATGTAGTCGCACTCACTGCTAAGATTATTATAGCAAAAGGATGCAGAACAAAGCCGGCAGAAGGAAAAGATGCATGGGACAAAGTCCAGAGTAAGGCAGGCATCAAGCTTCCAGAGCCCTCCCCCAGGGAGTCACACATGACACGCTTAATTCCTCCAGTAGTGAGTTCTGACAGCAAATGTGGAATGTTGCCCACCAGGGAAGCTAGTGAGAGACTCAGTGCCAGGGATTTCCTGGGGGCTGGGCACATAGACACTCTCTACCTGGCAGGCCCCAAAATTCCAGGCTCCTAGAAGGAAAGCAGGCATTCAGCATAAACCATATCATTTGTGTAAACAGGAACAATGAGCCACTCTTATCAGTTCTGCGAATGGTAGGAACCCTTGGGTTCCCTGTTATAAACAGGCCTTTCAAAGGATAGCAGTCAGGCCTGCTCTGTTAGTGAACAAAGCTGAGATCTGAGCACAGAACAGACTGTGGCATGAGAATTACAAAGGACATGTAAAAGGTGAGCCAATTGGAAGAGCTCGGAGGCAGTCTTTTCCTTACCATGATTTTCCACACCTGGAAACTTGCGTGGCATTAGAGCCGGGAAGTGTTCCAGGGAAGCAGGGTTCTGGTCAAGTAAGTCTGGGAAGCAGGCAGGCCTGCTCTGGCCTCCCCTAAGAGGATCTGCACATTTGCATAGTAAAGTTTCCAGGAGATTCTTCAGTATTTTGTTTAACCCAGTGTTACTCATTTTCAATGGGAAACTGCCCCCCTTCCCTTTTAGCATCCTTGTTTGGAAACACTGGTGTGATCCCATTGATTGAAGCTAACTGCCATTTCCCCGGGGGAGAGGAACTGACCTCGAATAGCTAATCTCTCGTGTAGGCATTATCGTTTGTTTTATATAAGTATGTAACATGAAGTGTGTGCAGTTCTTATTGCAGAGTGTGAGCTTATTCTCAAAACTCTCTCCTTCATACAAACCCTAGTCAAAGAACCCTGGCAAGCACTGCATAGACACATGAACTCTGACACCCTGATGCCAGCTTGCATATAGAATACTGGCTAACAGGCTTCTCTCTGGTGTGTTGTTCCTTAGCAGAGGCAGTGTTATGCTGAGTATTTGCCAAGATAAGTGAAGTGGTAACTTAGATGGAACATTTTTGGGTCACCTTTTTTTTTTCTGCAAAACACTACAAATTCGAGCCCAGCTTGTTTTGCTTTGTTAGGTGGCCTTTTTTCTGCCTGTGTATTTGTAAAGGGTTTCCTATTTTTGCTGGAGGGTGCATAGTTATGGGCCTCTATTGATTCTATGTGTGGCACAGTGAGCCCCTTTGCCAGGGGGTCGTGTTATTTTTTAATTATGTGATAAGATGGGCAAGGTAGGAGGGGTTGTGTTGATGGTTAGACAATGTGCTTACATTGATGTGGCAGATAAATGGTAATGATACCTCCAAATTTCTCATTTGGCCACAGTCTACTTTTGGGTTTCATATTCTTGTTCTTTGAACCTTTGGAGTTCTTTATTTTTGCCATAATTTTCCTTAAAACTACAGTGATAAACTTGAGTTCATAATGATCAGTAGTTTATATGCATTAAAAAAAGTTGCTTTGATGAGATTCAAAGCAGTTCGCTTAATTCAGTTATACTCCTTCCTTCCTTTTTTCCTCTCCCTCTTCTTTCCTCCTTTCTTCCCTCTTTCCATTCTTCATTTTTATTCATTTATTCCATTCACATATTTATTGAGTGCCTGCTGTGGGCACAGTGATTTTTTTATTTCTTGCAATGAAGCCTCAGAAAAAAGACATGAATATGAGCCCTAAGGACGTGATGGTCTAATGGGAAACCCGAAAGGTGGATGTAAATAGCTCTAATACAGTAGATGTTAAGAAACAGGTAAGTTATTCTAGA